GGAATATATTCAGAGTTCAAATTCCTCTTTTTGAATTTTTTGGTACTAATTTTTTTAGCAATCTCTTCATGGCCAAGATTTTTTTGATTTCCAGTGACAAGTTATGAAAAAATCAGCTTCTCACTTTTTTTCCTGAAATAAAAGTAATATTTTACATTTTCACCCAAATCCAAAAAATTATTAAAAATGTTTAAAAGAATTCTTTCATGCCTCTATTTATAATTTTCAAGTACATTTTTTAAAGTTTATATGAAATAAATGACATAAATGCTAACCTGTTTCATTTAAAATAAGCAGGTGGCCAGTTCCAATTTTATTATTGTAATTTAATTCACAATGAGAGAAGCAGATGATCAATTTCACAGAAGCAGCTGGTTCTTCATTGCAGAGAAGTTCTTCCTACATCACAGTTGCATAATTCTTCAGATGTTATTTTTAATTTTTTTTTTCTTTGCTTTTGCCAAAGGATACTTGGTAACAAGCTTTTCTGACTTAATAAAAAATGTCTTCTTTTCTTTTTTTTTTTCTTTTTTTTTTTTTGTGTGCAGCAGTAATCAGTATATATTTTCTTTAGATAGTATTTTTTGCAAAGAATGTTTAGCTCTTCAAGCAAGTTCAGTTTTAACAAACTTTCAAATGAGATTGTAACATTTTACAGTTTATTTGAGTACCACACATGGAACATTTTTGTTTAGAAAGATGACTCTCTTTTGTCTAACAGAATTTGGATCTAGTTGCTACCCAAATTTATAAAACATACTTTATTAGTGCAACTTATTGTTATTATACACAACTGTACATTAAAAGAAAGAAATGGTGAAAATTTTATTTTGCCAACAAAAGATTCATTGTAATTTAAAAGATAAACAAAAATATGGTAGATCTTTATTTCTAACTCAGAGTTGACATGTGTACTCCTTAGAATATAAAAAAAGTCCTATACTTAGTTTACATAAGAACCAACAGAGGGCTGAGTTACTTAATGCTACCTGTTGAGTTGACATCAAGAATCATGCCTTGCTGGTAGGGAGTCAGCAGGATATATAATCCTGGAAATGGCAACAATCTGCCAAATAACCTTTTTACATAAAGATTTGATTAACTGAAGCAACAGACATTAGTACAAAAATGTATTTTTCTTGTATATTTTTCTGCTTTGAATACAACATTCATTTCTTTTGGAATTTATTTTCGAGAAAAATGTACTTTTAAAAAGGTTTTAAGTGTATAACTCTAAAGGGACAACACTTTACAATATAAGTATAATGCCAAACTGTTTCCTAACTTTGTGTCTGGACTTGTAGAATGAGATTGATTCTTATGAGTTTACCAGAATGAATGAATCAAAATTAAAGTAATTTATGACCCTTAGTAAGCTTGATTCACAGGATATTTACAGGTAATCATTAATTACTTGTTAATTCATAGGATTTCATTAGTTAAAGCCAAAGTAGTTTAGCTTAGTTTTGTAAAATTGGAATAAAATCTTTTAAAAAGAAAATTCTACAAATTGTCATAGATTTCACAACTTACAATTTACTTTTTCAGTTCAAAAAAATTTTTTTCTTTTAAGAGATGCTTCCAAAGTTAGAAATTGTGGTTTTTAGTCATTTTTCGTGTGGCAGTCATTTTGAATATCTAGTAAGCTTATAACATAATTTGGGTTAATTTTATTTATTTATTTTTTCAGCAGTTTCTGAAAAGCAGATGATAAGCTTTCAGTGTTGTTTTTTTTATTTTTATTTTTTTCTCTTTAACTATTTTGAGATTTTTAAAAAAAAAAAAAAAAAGGCCAAATTTTGTTCCTAGAAATTCAGTAGCTATAAAGTGGAAGACTATTTTAAATATTATAAACTCCCTGAAGTGAATAGTGCTCATTTAAATGGTTCTCTTTATTAGCCATTTGTTTTTCAATAAATGCCAACCCTTCACTTTCTTTAAAATTAAGAGTGTAAAACTTGAAGCAACTTGCATGATTTTGGGATGTAAGCTGACAATAGAAATCAATTTTTAGTAAAATGTTACTTTTTTTTCTCAGAGCAAAAGAAAAGTAAAATAGGCATGTTCAGAATTTTTTTTTTTTTTTCAAATCATTTCAATTAAACACATTTTCAATTGAAATATTCTTTAATACAAAATATTTATCTTGATTTTACATTTTGCTTACTTAAAGCTTGACTGTTTCTTGCTTGCTGTTGACACAGCATATCCCTGTCATGCTTTTTTTCCCTTCAAGCAAATTTTTTCTGCCTGTTCTGTATTTGTTACTCATATTTCAAAACTGACAAATAATTTTGCAAGCTGCTGACATTATTTTCCCTAACATTAACGTGATTGCATTTGATAAACATTTGATATTTGGCATCAAACAAACAAAAACAATGTGTCAAAAGTGTGTATATCTCTTGACACCACTATTTTAAAATTTTATTGTTTTAAAAAGCTATTTCCAAAAACCCAAACATATGGAACTGGATTTATGCATTTTTATTTTTCCTAAGAACTGACATAAAAATTTAAAAAACAATTTGATTGTTTATTTACAAGATTATAAAATATTCAAGAACACAATTTAATTTATGAATTATAACAATATATTATTTGTTTACAACATAAGTGTATTCATATGGTTATATTATAAGAATAATTTTATATTTACAGTTTTATAAAAAAAATTGTAAATGAACTAAAAAGCAATACTTATTATTTGCCATATTATAAAGAAATAATTATAAAAATTTGTTTATTCATAAATTTAGAAAAATTTTGAATAAACACATTTATTATAAATAAATAATTTTGAATAAACACATTTATTATCATAAATTTTGAAAAAATGCAATTGAATTTGAGATTTTGAAAATGCAATTGTCCATTTTTAAAATTTTTAAAATGAATGTATAACAATAGCTAACTGAACCTCTCTTGAAAAAATAAAGCATGAAATAATCTGGGATATTTATAGTTACTTAATTACAGACAAAAAAAAAGAAAACGTCCAAAATAAAACAAATTTAATTTACATATTTAATCCCTGTTCTGACATTATTGCTTATCATACAAATATACCAATTCTCTAGATGGATTGATGAAGCAAGAATTTCTGGAGATTTAACAGAAGATTTACATATAGTTATGGCTAGTTACAGATTATGAATTAATAATCTTGTAAGTAAACAAATGGTAAATAACTAATATTTTAGGTTTGATCTGATTTTGTAAATATAAAATTAAATGTATAAATGCAGTTACATATGCTTGGGTTTCTTAAAATTCTAAAAATAGCTTTTAGAAACAACAAAAATTATTGAAAGAGAATATGATAATAGTGGTATCAAGAAAAAAAAATTTTGAACATGATTTTTTTTTTTCCTGTTCCTGTTAAACTTTGCCAGAGAACTTGAAATATTTTGGTGTATGTTTGTGGTTTTGACTGAAAACAAATTGGAGGCCCATAAAAATATATTTTAACATCAATTTTCTCTTTGAAAACTTTATAAAGAAAACTGAAAGGGTAATTACTAAGCAAATCTTACAAACCATTGTTAGTTGATTGAATTTGATACTCACTAGTTGTTTGTAGATCAAGCTATACTTGAGTATCTATAGAAAACTCAAGAAGAATAAGTTTTGGCTTTTCAAAATGCCTTTTTAAAAATTGAAGCAAACTCAAAAAGCTCTCTGACATTCTGTGAGCCAAGATTTGTCTTTTAAAAGAAATTTGATGCAATACATTAACTTTATCATTTTATGAAAATTTAGTGTCCAGGGAAAATAATCCCTGAAAACAAAAACCAAATCTTATGACCAGTTATTGTGGGATCAGTCATGTATAGGCTTAAATTATTCTGCTTTCTTCTCTTTGAAGAGTTTTAATCAGTTTGTTATTAAAATAATGCCTGTTTCTTTGAGGCAAATTTGAATCATTTTGAGTTTAATTCAAATTAACAATTTTTTTTTTTTCATTATCTTAAAAATGATTCAAACTTCTGTAATATTTTGGAGATACTGCAAAAAATTTGATTGATAAATTTATCTGTTCATAGAAAATGATTAGAACAATTCAAATTCCCCCCATGACTAAATATTATCAAGGCAAGTCTTAGTCACAGCAATGTGCAGAGGATAAAATGAAGACACAGTGTGAATTTCCAGAAAGTGGGACATGATATAATTAGTTTCATTTGGTACTTAACAGAAGTTGTGAAAATGTTAATTAATGGTGTTTGGTATTGAATGTGTTACAGAAGCTAGTGTTGAAAATTTAAAATAGAACAAAAATGTATTTTCTCTTACTGAAAATTGAGAAGCCATTTTATTTTATATGCTGATGATATATTTCTTGAACAACTTTCTTAAGAGTTTTGACAATGTCTTCATCAGACATGGCTGGCAGTTCAAATCTGTTACCAGAAAAAAATGACTTCTGGATTTTAGTTTGGATTCACTTGTTCTGTAAGTCATTTCATTCTTTTTATGCTGCACAAAATCAATATTAACAAACCCAACAAAGAAAAAGTCTATCATGAAATCTGTCATGTCTTTTGATTAAAATTAAGGCATTAATTACAGATGAAATATTATTTGAGGCAGAGAGAAATCCATTATGATTTAGATACAAATTTATAACAATCCTATTGTGTCTTGCTCATGGCTGTGAGAATTACCAAAAATCAATATCCATATTGAAAATCCAGAATTACAAATATTGATTTTTAAGGCAGGTGAACTTGAAATATTGGTGCAACACAATCTTCTCTTCGTTTCCCACCTTATCTTTTTCATGAATTTAGCTTATGTTAATAACCAACATGAGTGAAATGCTCCAAACATGGATGAATATGTTTCATGATGTTTGAAATTTGGTTGAGATGGACTAAGTTTTTAGCCTCCATGTTATCTAAATGGACTCCCCTGAGTTTGATGGCTAAAACCTTTTAGGAAACAAAAAGTTAAATGCAAATTATTTCTTTTCTAATTTCTTGTCTTTTTCTTTGCAGCAATGGGGATTTTTTCACAATTCTTGACTTGCCTGAAGGAGAACATCAATATAAATTTTATGTTGATGGCCAATGGGTTCATGATCCAAATGAGGTAATTGAGGTTTCTCTATTGATTCAAAGATCTTCAAGTAATGAATGTTTTGCTTTATATCAAAAGATTGTTTGTTTTAGATGTACAAATGTTTTTAATGGGTGTGACTTCTGTTATGGATACCCAATTGCATATACAATGAGTTACTCTGACTTACAATTAAAGGAGATTAAAAAAATTGAAATCTATGTAGATATAGAAAATAAACAAAATAGCAATTTTAATTATAAGAGGGTGCTGAGAAGTCTTTGGCGTGACCCACTTCTCAATCTAACTAAACATTCATTCTTGCTTGGGCCAAGAACTTTTCAACATCTCGTCATATGAACAATGAAGAAGTGCACTTTAGCACCACATAAATTTAACTTTGATAGTATTGTCTGGTAAACAATTGCATCTTTAGAAAATAAGTTTATTAAAATAAATTCTTCTATTGTTGTTATATTAGAAATATCTATGTATTTTAGTTGCAATCAGGTTAACAATATATTCAGCCTTGTTGCTTACAATACTGAAAGCAAAAATCTTGAACTGTTTGTTCAATGTTTACATTAATGCATTTCCATGACTAGAAAATTAAAGTGCATGTGGCTGCTGTCCTTTATTACAACCAGGAAAAAGAAAAAAAAGTGTGCCTTACCTTATTTTACAGCTGGTAAATTTTAAAAAATTACGAATTTGTTTTTCAGAAATGAACCTTTTAACATAAATAAAAATTTGTAAAGCTAACATTGAGTGCCCATTCTTTTTATTAATTCCTTTCTCTTCTGTTGGCTTCCTAAAGCTTTGTAATAAATTAGTTTGTAACCTAGAATTCCAGTTTCAGTCCTATGTGAAATCTGCTGGTCTTGCAATGTATTGACTTTTAAATTAAATAGGTGTTTCCTTAAAAAGTGATCTTATGGCAGACAAAACAAATCACAAATAGAATAACCATATTCAAATTATAAGCATTAGAGCCTTCCATTTACTGGACATCATAAGGTTTTTAGAATCACAAGACAATTCATAAATTTATATTGTAACACATTACTTCTACTTTTCAGTCAAATTGGAGGGGAGAGGATTGGACAATTTAAAAAAAAAAAATATAATCAAATGTAACCGGCAACTGAAGACATTTAATTACCAAAAGATTAACTAGTGCAAATTTTGCAACTTCATATGAGATTCATATTAAACTTATTTGCATTTTTCAGTCACAACTAACTATATAAGGTCTTTCAAGAATTAACTTAGCCATTTTGAATATTTTGAGAACCTGTTGCGCAGTCTTGAAGTATCATGGCAACCAATCAGAGGGAATTTTACTGCACAGGCAAGTGCAGTAAAATTCCCTCTGACAGACATGCACTTTCATTGGCTTACTCTGTTAGCATTGATGTAATTGAATGAGTTTTTCTACATTTACTAAACAAATAGATTCATCCTGTTTCATGCAGAGGTTTTGGCAAAACATTACATCATCTAGCTCTAACTCTTGTCCAAATTTGGCTCCCTTGAATTTTTGGCTTTTTTTCAAAGCCAAAAATCACCATTGAATGTCTAATGTGGACAACATTAAGAAAAACATAAAGAAGAATCTGATAGCTATTTGGAAGAAGTGTTTTGCAAGCTGTTTTGTAAAGTGAAAGAAATTCTGGGATAAAACTATAGGCTCCCAAAGGAACCTTGCACTTGAAAAGAAACTCAGCCAAGGCAAGCTAGTTATTTTTTTTCTTTTTTTGTTTTTCTTCTCTCTCTCCCTTGTATTAAATGGATGGATACTTTCTTGAATGATCTTGTCTTTTTAATCTCCTTTTTGTTTTTAGCTAGGTGTCTTTTAAGATTTTTTTCCACTCTTATTGTAAATGTTAGAAAAACTTTATTTTATGCTGATTGATTTGTTTCAGGAAATCTTGGCTTATTTAATTCCTAATTTATACATCTCCTTTTTAGCCAACAGTTCCAAATGCAATGGGTACATTAAATAATATTGTTCTTGTCAGCAAAAGTGACTTTGAAGTATTTGAAGCTCTTGCCATTGACAGTGAAAATTCCAGTTCTAAACGAAAAAGTAAGTTTTGTTTTTCGCTTAATTTATCCTGAAGAATTATTTTTGTCTGCATTGTGGATCCAATGACTTTTAAACACATTTGTTATCTGATCCCATATTTGAAAGTTTTTGAAAAATTAATTCCCTGCTTTTCCTTATGGCAAGTTTAGTCTGTTTTGAATTATTGAACACAAATGAAGAAAAGGAAAAAGTGAAGCATTGGGAGAATCAGAATTATGCTGAATAAATTCATTCCTCCATTTAAAAAAGAAAATTAATCAGTCAAAATTGATAACTCAACTAATTCTGAAGTAAATGAATCTGAAATATAAATGTAAGTATCTTTGTTCCTCTCCATCACTGTTTTTTCTTTCCTCTTTTTTGTTAAAAATTAATGCATTCACTTAACCAATGGCAACTTTGTAAAAATCCAGAAAGAAAAAAAGAAGAGAAATTACCACTTGTTGTTTTTTTTTTTTGTTTTTTTTATAGACATGAGGATTCTAGAACCCACTCCTCATTAGCTATAAAAGATGCCACCTGTTGGCAATGGCAGGAATGAGTGTTGTGTATACTAGAGGAGGAGGTCAGATCTACCCAATGGATATTGCTTCTGTTGGAGCCTAGAATTTTTGTAAACCTTATGGTTAACTGCATCTACTCAGCAATAAGATACAACAACGGACTTTGTTGCAACTCTAAACTATCAGCTGCATTCAGTCGCAATTGTCATGTGGCCGTGTGTAACCACCTGTTACCAATAGTTGCGTGAAAACACAACATTTTGCAACAAAGACATCCTAAACTATGTCAGAAGAAGTGAACATTATCGAAAAGTTGCTATGGCAACAAACTGGATTTAAGTCAAAGGTTCGCAGAGAGGAAAGAGGGTTTGAAGACTTTAGGCAGCCTGGTGAGGGATGTGTTCATGGAACGCAGGGATACTATTAAAAGTTGGTTATGTTGCCTAGATGGGTTAGAAGGAGAGATAGCTATGGTTTGTCTTGAGACTACAGGAGGCTGGAAGGAAACAAGATCAGAGACTCCATCAGAGTTCGAGTTTAGGATGTCCATATACCAGGATCTATCACACATGGCTGAACAGTTTGAGGATGGTTCTGAGGTTAGGAACTTGCCAGAGACTTCAAATCCCAACTCTCATGTCTCGACCATTTCCCTGAAACCTTTGATGAGGGCACTCTCCTTTAGTGTTAGAGGTATGGAGGATAAATTTGCCTTTGAGAATTTCTTGGCACATTTTGAGAATTACATATAGGATCATAGGATATAAAGCAGCCAGATTTCAGTACCTTAAGAGCTGTTTAACAGATTATGTGCTTTTAATCCTTCAACATTTGTCAATCTGTGACCAGAATTATGGAGTTGCATTATCCTTACTCAATGAGGAATTTTTGGATGAGGGGTTCATAGTGGATGAGACAGATTTTGAAGTATAAGTTGTCACATGGCTCGAGATTCAAAGGTGTTAAAATTTTCATAAATAGAGTAAAAGCCAACTTATGGGAATTAAGGAATAATTTTTTGCTGGATTTTCTTGAGAAAGATACTGCTGGGTACATATTGATGAGTCACATTGTATTTTCAAAACTACTTGGAGAATTGCAAAGATAATTTATGCAGTGATATAATTCCAATTATCTTACATTCTGCGTAGTTATAACAAAATTAAAACTCTGGTGAAACTAAGGGTTGAACCTGTTTCGTAATTCTATGCCTTTAAAAGCCCAGATTAAAAAAAACCCTCTTCCACTTTGGAGAACTTTTCTACCTAAAGCATTGTAAATTTTAGTAGCAGATGGACACTGGAATGATGATTGCCTGAATGTTTCTCACCAGGACCGATGGGTTCTCTGTGCTTAAATTGTGCCTCCTTTGTGCAAGCAAGAAGCATTCTGCTGTTAACTGCCCAGGCAAGAGGGGAAGATTTCTTTGGCCCTGTAGATAGTGTTCTTGTAGCCAACCACAATGTGTTGTGTCCAGATGTTGTACCTAAAAAAATGTCATTAATACTTGTATTAATACAGGTGTGATGGGTTAGCCCTACATTTTCCTTACAGTGTCTTACTGAAAAGAGGAAAAAGATGGCGTAAGTGTAACTGCCTAGTGGACTCTAGAATGCAGAGGTATTTTCTCCAGTGATATTTTGGAATCTCTTAAATGTAATCCTCTTGCAGGTACTCCCTGTTGAATATGCTATCTATACACCATATGGTACAAACAAAAAAACTTTAGGGAGGTGGTTTTTAGAGATGGAATTGGTTCCTGATGCCATAAAACCTCTCCTTCTTTTAAATGACCATATATTCAGCATGAAACTGGAGTTCTCAAATTTTGGTCAGGTTGAAAATCTAAAGTATCATGGCTACTCTCTTGCTGCTGATATTGAAATCGATATTCACATGTTGTAAACCTTCTGAGTTTGTTAGGTGCTGACTTTGTCCATTTTATTAAACTCTTCTTGGGAAACTACCAAGGGTATTATCCTCTTTCGAAACAGCATTCATTTTTTTTTTTATCCTCACCAGATATGCCCTGGTAGAATCTTCTGGGTTAAACACAGTGGATTATAAAAAGGTGATTCCCAAAATGGCTTTCTGTCCTCCTGTGGTGAATTTTGTGTTGGGGCTCAGACATTCTTATGCTGATCCTTGTGGAGACTTGTTCAAGGAAAGTTCAGTGGAACGAAGCATTGAACAATTGTTTTCCATCAAGACTCTGGAACTTACTGAAGAAGAATACCTTTCTGAGTATGATCAGGAAAAAATTAGAAAATTCAGAGAGTCCATTGTCTTTAAAAACAAATGTTACTATGTGAAGCTCCCTTGGTTGGAAGACAAAATATATTTGGTTCCTCCGAATTACTCTGTGGCCCTTGGAGCATTGGATAGAGTTGTAAGGTGAATGGAACAAAGCAACCAATATCATGATTAATTGGAAGTGTTCTGAGAGCAAGAGAGAGAAGTAATAATAGAGGTCCCCCACCCCAACAAATATAAAAATTATATTTGGTTACCTCATTGAAAGAATGTGAACAAATCCACAACTAAAATAAGACTGGATTTTAATTGCTTGCTGAAAACCAAAGGTGCTATTTTTATTATGAGGCTGCTTATCCTGGCATTAATCTCATGGGAGATTTGTTGAAACTGTTATTATTCCATTCCAATAAGTATGTATTGCTGGGGGATATCTGAAAAGCCTTCTTGAGGATAAGATTGAAGGAAGACAAGAATAGATTTTGTCTTTTCTTAAAGAATGGAGATTAGTTACCTTGCTATTGTTACTATGCCTTCATTTTTTTATTTAATGCCTCTCCATTTATATAGAACTATGTACTAAAGCATCACGCTGCAAGATACCCTGAGGATGAGTTTACTCATATGCTCAACAACCATTTTTATGTAGACAACCTGGTTAAGACCAGTAATAACACCCAGGAACTAAAATCTCTTTACTCTGAGTCTGTGAAGAGGATGAATGAAGGTAATTTTCAACTTTGGTCTTGTAAAACCAACTGCAGTAAACTAAGAGAGAAAATAAGGGAGGGTGGTAATCTTGTGAAATATTTGTCTCAGTGTGAAAAGCTCTTGGGTTATGAATATAATCCCTACCAAGACTTATTGTGCATTTCCTATCATTTCAATGACCCTGAGATTTCTACCAAGAGATGTATATTTTCTGAGGTATCAAAAACTTTGACTCCCTATCTTTATGCCTTCCTATCACCATTAGTTGTGATCATTCCTTGTTAGCGAACTTTGGAAGTTGAATTTAGATTGGGACAACCCTATTCTTCATGAACTACTAAGGTGGAACCTATTGTCCAAGGATTTATACATGCAATTCCCCAGATGGGCACTAAATGAAGGGGAAAATTCCTCATTAATTTTGTTTTGTGATGCCTCAAAACAGACCTATGCAAGAAGGAATATCCTTGCTAATTTTTGCCAAGGCTAAAGTGCCATACCCCAAGGAAAAATGTTACCTACATTCGAATTATTGTCTCTTTTTGGAATTTAAATGTCTTACTACACTATTATGTACCTTTTCTCATGTAATTTTTGGAGAGATAATTGTTGCCATGGATGCTCAGATTTTGTTTTGGTTGCTCTCATACAATTAAGGCTAAAAATATTTTTTAGAACAGAGCCAAGGACATTAGAGAAAACAAAAGAGAAATTGAGACCTGGTTCTCCCTCAGAATCCTCTTCAAATATGTGCCTACAGATGCTAATCCTGCTGATATGTTTACTCGAGTCATCTCAATTACCAAACGATAAGCAAATTTAAAACCAATTTTGATTTTTGGGTAACGGTAAGTGGCTATCCATCCAACCTATAGACTGATAAAAACAATGCAGCAGCAAGCCTTTGTGGAAGAAAGAGAATATCTCTCGAACTCAACAAAGGATAATATTCCTGGATTAGTAAAATAATTGAATTTGTTTTGCAATTATCAGGGAATTATCTGTTCAAGAGGAAGGATAGATAAATGTCATATGTATGATTATGAAATTACACATCTTATTCTCCTTGACAAAAAAAAACATCCTCTGACTAGACTTGATTTTGTCACATCTAAATGCAACCATCTGAGTACTACCTGCACTCTGGATTCCCCAGGCTAGACAGGCCGTTAAAATTATTTTTGAGTGTATATTATGCAAAAGATTTAAATCTATATCTTTTGCTTATCCCGAAATGGCCTGCCTCCTCAAAACCAGAGTAAACTTGGTAAACTCATTTTTACATATGGATATAGATTTTACCAGTCACATTTGGGTGAATGCAACTGGAGGGGGAAGTAAAATGTACCTATTAATATTTGCCTATTTAAATATTCATGCCTTACACAGAGTTGAAGAAAGATGTAACAGTCCATTCATTCATGTTGGCTTTTATACGATTTACCAGCTTGTATGTCATCCCAAACCACATTTATAGTGATAATGCCAAGGCATTTCTAGCTACTGGAAAGCTCCTCAAAGTTTTTTTTTTATTTTGAATGAGTACACCACCTCATTTGGGTCTTATCAAATAAATAGTGCCTTATTCATACAGTGAAATCGTGCCTGTATAAGTCTCTTGGACATTCAAGTGTGGGTTATTTTTATATACTGACTGATATTTGTGTAAGTGGTCCTGTGTCAGATCAAAAAATTTTTTGAAACAACAAAAAAAAAAAACAATTATTTCAATTCTTTCCCTCACCTCCCTGTCCAGAAGTAAATGTTCCTCCCTGTTGAAATGAAATGTGGTGTTTGCTTACCTGGCAGTGACATTGTAAAAAAAGATAAATTACCACATGTCTTTTATAGACACAGGGATTCTAGAAACCACCCCTTGTTAGCTATAAATAATGCAACCTGCTGGCAAGTGTGGGAACGAGTGTTGTGTATACTAGAGGAGTAATGGGTATTGCTTCTGTTGGAGACAAAACTTTTTGTAAACTTTGTGGTTAACTGCATCTACTTGACGATAAGCCACAACAGTGAACTTTGTTGTAACTTTAAACTATCAGCTGCATTCAGTTGCTATTGTTGGTCGACTGTGTGTTACCAATAGTTGCGTGAAAATGCGACATTCTATTTCTTCCTTTTCCCATTTCCTCTGGTCTTTCACCCCCCTTTCTTCCTCTATTTCACCTTTTCTCATTATAGATGATTTGGCTGGCTCTCCACAAGGTGAATATGGACAAGATATGCCTCCACGGCGAGCAGAAAAAGTTTCAGGTCCACCATTTATACCACCTCATTTGCTTCAAGTAATTCTCAATAAGGACACGCCTGCTCATGCAAGTTTCTCTCCTTTTAAAATTTATTCAAATCTATTTTCATATTTTTTTTTTTTTTTTAAATTATTGGTTTAAAAAAAATGATAGATTTCAAGTTGAATCAATTTTATGTTGGTTCCCATCACAGAAACAAGGGTGTTTTTTTTTTTTTTTTTTTTTTTTTTCTTTCTTAATTATCATTCTTAAAGTATCAAAGAAATTCATGAAATGGTATCTGTGTTGGATTTGCTACACAAAGTGAAGTGGATTGAAATAAATCCTAATCAATCTTTTCTCTAAATTAAAGGCAACTAGAACATTTTATTAATCCAAGCATCATTGACTTAAGATTTTAAAAAATATTATTATTGTTTTTATTTTTATTTTTTTTGATTATGATGGCTGGGGGAGGATCATACACTTGATTTATTGTAACTTCGTAATTAAGTTTCCGAACACCAGTTGTCAACAAGTAAATTCTTATAATTTTTTTAAATTTAGAGAAGAGTGAATTTAAAATTATGTTTTTAATGAAAACCTTTTCAAAATATTCATAACATTTGCATTCTGATGCATGCACATTTTAAGTACTTTTGTTCTGATTTTCTGTGAAATAATTAAAATGTTTAATCTCGTCTTGCATTTTACTGCCAGGGAAATTGAACAAAATACATTTTCTCTTTTGAACGAATTTGTGTGTGTATATATATATATATATATATATATATATATATATTAATTTTTTTTTTTTTTTTTTTTTTTTATAGTGTGAACCAACCCTCCTTCCAGAACCAAACCATGTTATGTTGAACCATTTGTATGCATTATCAATTAAGGTTTGTATTATACTATTTGCTGTAGAAAAATTTTCTACAGCAATTTCAATCATTTATCACAAATTTATCAAATTTTTGAAATATTTATCTTTATTATGCCTTGCTATTTGGACCAGTAAGCTTATCTTGGTTGTTATGCTCACACTGCATACTGTCTTCAGGTGCCTGTAAATGCACTTGAAATTTTGTAACCAAACCCTTTATTCAATTCATAGATTAAGCATGGAAATCAGAATGAGAATAGAGGACATTTTTATTGAAATCACTCACCACTTAATCACATTCATTATACACCTTTGTGTTACTTCTTCCTACTGAACCAGAAACTTTTCAGCACTAAAAGACTCAGGATTGAACTCACAAATACCAAGGAACTTAATGTTTTTAATGCTTTAATTCACCAGACCCTATATCTCTTGAACAATTTAGTGGTGTAATATTGGAGACTGCTCAGGTGGTGAAATCTTTGAGTGTCCTTTCTTTATTACCTATGAAGTATCTGCTCAGGAGGTAACAGGTTAAGCCCCAAGAAATAACTATTGGCCTCATTTGTTTTTGTGAAATTTAGTAAGACCAAATGATGTCATTATGTTCAGCTGTCTGTATTTGTACATCATGAAGTAATCCTTGTTCTTTCTCAGATAGCTTCAGCTCGGCTTTCAGAATCAGATCCTTCTTTACCTTACTGTTGCTCCCATTCCCCATTAGGCTAACCAGTTTTTCCGAGTATCCTAACTTGTCCCATACCAACCTTGTGTTTGTCTTTTCTGTTAACAGTAAGATGATTTTGGTAATGCTCCTCATGTTTTAATATTTTTTTTTTTTTTTTTGATGTTTGATTTGGTGACCAAAATAAATAAATAAAGGTAAATAAGACCAGCAATACACAGAAACTGACGGACATGAAATTCTGAAAACCAAAGTAGAAGCTGCACTGGCCAAACTGAACAGAAACAAGGAGGCAGGGCCAGACGGAATTGTAATGGAAATGCTGACAGCTTTAGATGACTTTGGCATAGACAAGATCACAGAAATAATAAATGAAATCTACAACAGTGGGGATATACCGGAAGATCTCAGCAGATCTATTTTCATAGCACTGGCTAAACCAGGCACAAACAAATGCGAACTCCACCGAACAATAAGTCTAATGAGTCACATAACAAAACTTATCTGTATTTTGATGAATAGAGCACACAGCAGAATCAGGCCAGAGATAGGACAAGAACAATGCAGGGTCATTAAAGATACCGGAACAAGGAACGTTAGATTCATACTCAGAATGTTATCAGAAAGAGTAATACAAATGCAGAAGGATGTGTACCTATGTTTCATAGACTATGTAAAGGCCTTCAACAAAGCACGCCACAAGGAACTGCTCAGCAACCTTGATATATTTGGGAAAGATATTAGAATAATCAAGAACCTATACTGGAAGCAAACCTCATGCACAGAGAATGAGTTCAGTGAATATACAAAAATAGAAAGGGGTGTAAGGCAAGGATGTGTCTTCTAACTGGATCTATTCAGTCTATACAGTGAGGCAATTCTGAGAAAATTGGAAATCCTATCGGGATTCATCATTGGCGGCCACAATCTTGACAATATAAGCTATGCAGATGACACAGTGCCAATAGCAGACATGGAAAAGAAATTACAAAATCTCCTACAGAAGGTAGCAAAGGAGAGTGAGAAGAAGGGACTAAGCATAAACTACAAGAAGACAGAATGCATGGTCATCAGTAAAAGGATGAGTCCGAAATGTGATTTGCAGATCAGGGACACTAAAATGAAGCAGGTGAGGAAGTCTAAATATCTAGGAACTGTTCTGATGGAAAAGAGTACTGAGCTGTTATGTGACATCTGTCCTCGTTTACGGTAGTGAATGTTGGACAGACTCCACAAAGATGAAGACGACTTGAGGTGACAGAGATGTGGTTCTACAGAAGGATGCTGAGGATATCATGTTTTAGCAACAATGAGGTTTGGAGAGGATGCAAACAAGGTGGAGGAAGTCACAGGTCAAATAGAGGGCAAGAGAGACAAGGGAAAGCAATGCATGACATACCTGGCAGGCTTAAGCAAGTGGATGACAGAACATGGTCTGGGGGAGGTTTGCAGAGGGATGAAACTTATTGAGAGCTACAAGGGATAGGGGGAAGTGGAGAGCCATGATTGCCTACGTCCTGAAAGGACATGGCGCATAAAAAAGAAAGAAAAGAATATTAACTATTTGAAATATGCCCCAAGCATGGAAATTGGAATGAGAACAATCTACCTGCATGGAGGGAATAAAGAGTTTGTTTCAAAATTCCAAGAAGGTGACAGCAGATAAAGGTTAGAGGGTACAAGGGCCAAAACAATCAAAATCACTAATAATGAAAATTCCTCATGTTTAAAAAAAAAAAAAAAAAAAATTCCAACATAAATTATAGTTAACTTTATTTTAAGAGAATAAAGACCAATTTTTTTCATTTGTTTCTTTTCAACAAGAAAGTGGAAAAATCATAAAGACTTCATTATTTTCACAAAAATAATGAGAAAATTTTGTATAAAAAAAAGATTTTGGAAATTTGGGATTGTCACATTTGTTTTAACCAATTGCTTAAATATTGGCTCCCATATAACTTGTATTGTCTTATAATCACAAATGTTGTTGTGAAACACCATGTTCAGGTCATCCATGTAGCCGTGAACTGTAAATGATTTTATTTAGGATTGGTTTTATGACTGAATAATCTCACAATTAAAATCAAGGTGTGAGCATTTCAAAGCAAGCACACACTGTTCAGGGAAGGGAACAGGAAATTAAATAAAAACTTTAGTGATCAAATTCAACTTGGCTTGAAGTTAGGAAATTCCACTCATAGGCCACATTTTAGATAATGGCAATCATAGAGTAAGAAAAGAAAAATTCAAAGTGAGATGGAGTTCTCACTGACTGAAGGGAAAATCTGGACAGATCATCTTTGCTGCTACTTCTAAGTGTCACTTATCTATCCCTAGACAGTGACAGGTGAATTAATCCATGAATAAAATTTAATATCAACTGATGGTATACTATCATCTTTCATTCAGTTTTGAGAAAACTGAAACATCAACCAATTTGTACTTTTCAATCGGTTTGTGCTGAGGAAAAATTACAAAATTTAAATTTAAAGTGTCACATTCATGATAGTGACTCTTACTGAATTTACCTTGTCTAATTTTTTCTTTAATACACAAAATGAAAACAATATCCATTAATTCCATTGGTCTTAATTTGTGAATTACATTGTTATGACTGACTGCCAATGAACATAGAAGCATCTCAAAAATAAGGATTTTTCTATAGCATTATTATTGTCAAAAGAGATCTCCTCATCTTTATTGGTTTTTGTCTCTGAATTGCAGAGAGAATCTTAACTGAATTTTATTCTGTAAATGAATTAATCATTTCCAAATTTTTTCTTTATGACTGTCTTCCATAATTTTTTTTTTTATTTTTTACTTTAGGATGGTGTCATGGTTTTGAGTGCTACTCACCGATTTCGTAAGAAGTATGTGACCACGTTATTGTACAAGCCCATCTAAAAAGTAAAACATGTGAATGTGTGTGGAGTTGGGAGAATGTATGCATAATTGTAATTTTTTTTTTTTTTTTTTCAATGGTTTGCTTGTGATGACAATGTTACTTTGTAATAAATAAAGTTTGTATATAAATGAGGAGTCAACAATTTCTTGGACAGTTTTAATCATTTAAAACCTTTTTTTTTTCTGTAAAGGCTTTAATAAACTTGACCCGTTCAAAACATATTCACCTAATTTTACTGATTTTCTTATTTGGAATTTTAAAAAAATTATTGGGGCTTAAAATATAAAAGCAAAATCCATCTACACTTTTTTTCTCTCTTAAATAGATGCATTATTAATTTTGTAATCAATGTCCACCTTGATTCTATTCTGGAGCTTTTGTTTTTTTTTATTAAGATTACAGAAACATTCTTTGAATCAAAATTTCAACTAAAAACTAATTTTTGTTGCATAATTAACTCGGTAATATAAATTTATTTATTAAAGATTACTTTTTAATATAAAAATTAAAAGCAAAAAATCATAAGAATTTGCTCCCTACATTTTAAGACAAAAGATTTTTTTCTCAACAATTTTCAACATTACCAACAAATGTTTTTGATGTTGGAATTAGAATTTATCAGAATTAATAAAAGAGTTAATATAAAAAATATCTTTCTAAATGTCACAAAATATTTAGGAATAAAGAAATTCATTAAGCCTGCCAATTGTTTTTTGTTTTTCTTCATTTTTACCTTTGTTTGAACAGCTATCATTATTTTGGTGAAAAAAAAAAAGAAAGTCATCCTTTGTCTTATCCTGTGCCTCCTACTCCTCCTCCTTTCAATATAAAATTAAGTTTTGAGTCCTATTTATGAAAAAATTGCATTCTTTTGAAATATGATTCAGAAAGATTTGTACAATCTGTGAGGTCAGCATAAAGTAGTAGTTTCCAACAAGAATATGTAAATTCACTTACAGCTCTGCCTAACCATTAGGCTTTATCTTAAGTTGATTAAAGATAATCTCCAAGGTATGTAAGGTCAAATCTCATTAGAAATTGCTATTTGAAATTTAAACTTCATGCTATTTACTTGAATAGTTAGAAAGTACTCAACCTTGGACATTTAGTGTGTGTGTTCTTTTTTTTTTTTTTTTTTTTTTTTAAAGGATCAAACTCCTACAATCCACTATCAATTGAAATATTTGCTTAAATCTAAGCTGGAAAAAAAATCAAATTTCACATAAGCTTATTTACTTAAGTTTGATTTTTTATCAATGTTATCAACTTTGTTATTTTTCAAGTTTGATTAAAAAAAAAAAAAAAAAAAGATTTAGAAAAAAAATTTATTTATTTTTTTTTACAATTCAAAAAATAACTTCATTCCTCAAAAAAAAAATTCAAAGTATTGAAGCTTTCAAATCCTTGTAGAAGGGCATTGCCCATAAATAAGCTAAAACAACAAAGTTGATTGGTTCAGATCTTAATATTGTCATCTGAGTATCTCAATCTTTTTAGATTGTGATTCTCTACTGCTACCAGGGACTGAATTAAAATATTGCCAGTCAACATCATGAAAACTAACAAATTCTATCACCACCAGGGTGGGTCATTGAACTTACAGCAACTTTTGAAAAAATAGTTATAAATGTTAGATTAAGGAAAAGGTTTAGAGGATTAATACTCATTACTTGAATCAAAATTCAATTCTTTAGAAAAAAAAAAAGCTGGAGAAATATGGGATATGTTCAGATATAAAACTTCCATGACAAAAATGAGGACAAAGAGATCTGAATAATTTAGAAATCATCCTTCCATGACGGATAAAAATTTTCTCCTCCCCCTGAATGGTTGTGTCATTTACTAATTTTGGAAGAGCAGGCCTTTCTTTCTGCCCCAAATTGGTTGCTCTCTTATTAGAGTTTCTCTCTTGATTGTAATGTTCTCCTCAAAAGAACAATCAGCAGAATAATATATAAGCAGTTCCTCAATAGCTTTTTCTTCAATCTGAAAGAGAATTTTAGGAGGAAATGAAAAACATTTTACTCAAACAATTGATACTAAGATTTTTTTTTCTGTCTTTATATTCTGATGAAGTACTCTGGTCAAAGTGGTTGATAACAATGCCCCAGTAAATGTGACATTTGAGAAGGTGGTCAATCACTAGGAAAGAAATTAGGGACTGTACAATTGGTAAGTTATATGTCCAAAAAAATTAAAATCCCAAATTAGAAGTCCACACAATCACCTTGCTGCTACAGATTGAAATAATAAAAATATCTATATGTGAAAGTATTCTCCTAAAATGGACCCAGTCTTGACCATTATCCTTGCTTAAGTTTATATCCTTAGGAACTTATTCATTAAAAAAAAATTAGGATAACAAACTAAATATTTAAGAGACTTGCTTTACAACTTTCCATAAATCACATTCCTCTCCTCACCTAATATGCCAAATGTTCAATTTAAGTATGTTGTTTTTTTTTTTTTTTTAACAAGTGTATTTTTTTACTTTCATTACTTATTGTAACTATTCTCTTTTTATTGTTATACTTTCTTTAATTAAAATGTATGCAGATGGAGTTAAGAAAAAGCTCTGAGAGAAATTCTCATATATATATATATATATATATATATATATATATATATGTGTGTGTGTGTGTAACTCCAGGGTCAGGATAGTTAGGCCAAGAGAGTCCAACTACCGAGTATCTTTTCAAATCAACAAAAATCTAATACATTTGTCCACCACTTTGATTGGACTCAAAGTTGTAACACAAACCATCAAGGATAAAATAATCTAAAATTGTTTTAATTTATTATTTTTATAATTTTGTCTTGACTTCATACTCTAAAATAAATTTTACTGAAAGTGATTACAGGGCCCACAAATTCCAATAATGTTAAAACAGTATGACTCAGTTCAGCTAGAAATCTGTTCACTAGTGTGATGTCCACGCAAGTATAAATAGAACCCACTCGGTTGAGGTGGAACTCTTCAATGTACAGCAAACCTGGCGACAAGGACGTAACAATTTAACAAGCTTCGAATTAACAAAACACTACCCCCTCAACTGCAAAGGAAAAAAAATACTCAAATTCAACAACAACGCGAGTAACAAACTTTGAAAATAACAAATTATTTTGAAAGAAATGGCTCTCTCTATGCCAACAATAGAGCCCCTAGACGGGGAAGACTCCAACCAGGAGCAAGCATGGAGAGAATGGAGTGAACATATCGAAGACGCATTTACAGCGTTTGATATAACAGATGATAAACGACAACTATCACTCTTTCGATTTTACGGGGGAAAGAAACTGAAAGATATCCTAAAAACCTTAACACCAGAGATACCACCAGGCCAAGTAGAGCCTACATACAAAACAACAAAAATAGCACTGGACGAATATTTCATCCAGAAAACAAATAAAGTCTTTGAAAGACATAAATTCAGGATGCTTAGTCAAGAAAATGGGGAGTCAACACATGACTATGTCACCTGTCTACGCATACAAGGAGCAAAATGCAACTTTGGTGAATATAACCTGGACAAGGCTATAGTGGACCAATTAATAGGAAAATGCTCATCAAGCAAATTACGCCGTGCGTATTTGAAAGAAACTGATTTAACAGTAGAGGAAGCACTTCAAAGAGCATTCATATTTGAATCCACTGAAACACAAGCTAAGCAAATAGAAGAGAATGAAAGAGAACACTCAGATATCCACAAAATTACAACCACTTGCAACAACAACAACAAGATAACAGTGGGTATAGGAAACTATCCATGGACAACAACCCATTAAAAACAGTTACAAAATGCTACGGGTGTAATGGCTCTGACCACATACACAAACAAAATGCCCAGCATTTGGGAAAAAATGTAACTACTATGGAGTAATAAATCACTTCGAAAAAACATGCTTAAAAACAAGGAACAGTGGTAAAGGGAAAACGAAGATGTCAGACGGCCACAATTACGTCCAACCAGTATCAACGAATCTGAATAATTCAGACAGCCAGGCATTCGTTTTTCAGGTGAAACCTATTCATTCAGCAGATAGCAAAATTGTCCATATTGATGACGTACCAGTCAGAATGTTAATAGATTCTGGAGCAGACATCAACCTTATTGACGGCAAAACATTTAAAGTAATCCTTAAAGTACGGCCAAACTTAACATTAAAAGAAACAAATTGTAAGCCTATGGGAATATTCCAATACCACTAAGAGGAGAATTTTTCACAACGCTGACAAATGGTCCCAGAAGAAAAGCCCACAAAGTATTCATTACAAAGTCATATCAAGGTGGTAACATATTAAGTAAGTGGGCCAGCATCGAATTAGGGTTTAACACCACCCCACAGGTAAAATCAATTACAACAAAAAGTATCCCAGATCGACACCTACCCTCGTTGGAAGGATTAGGAAGATTGAAAAATTTCCAACTCAAAATTAGACTAGACAAAAACGTTATACCTGTTGCACAACTGCCAAGACGGACACCATTTCATATCCAACAAGCAGTAGGGGGAAAAATCAATGAAATGCTAGAAAATGATATCATCAAAAGAGTGGAAGGACCCACTCCGTGGGTCTCGCCGTTAGTAGCAGTACCGAAACCAAACAGAGAAATTAGAATATGTGCCGACTTACGCATGGCAAATAAAACAGTGAAACACACTTGCTATCAAATACCAACAGTTGACCAATTACTGAGTGAAATTAGTAATGCAAACGTTTTCTCAAAAATCGACCTAAACTCTTATTACCACCAAATAGAACTGGATCCTGAATCTAGGGACATCACTACCTTTTCATGCAAATCAGGAATCTACTGATATAAGGTATTGGTTATGGGCATTACATCCGCAGCCGAAGAAGGGCAACGATTGCTTCAACAAATCCTTCAGAAAATCCCTAACTGCTGCAATGGGGCAGACAACATTCTAATCTGGGGCAAAGACACAAGAGAACATAACAGAACCCTAGATATGGTATTAGGCACAGTGAAAGAAA